AGCATTACAGAAACTGAAGCGTATGAAACTGATGAAACTGAAGGTTGGTTAATTGTTCGAAGAATAAAAATGCTGAATCACTTGTTTTATTCCTTATGCATTCTATTTAAAATATGAAATGGTGTGATGACGAAGCATTTTGATGCTTTTAATAAAGACATATTTGAAAGCTAAATTTAAATTTAATGCTTGCTAAGACTTAATAAATATACTTGAAATGTGTAACAGGTAAATCATTTAGAATTCCCACACATTTATATTTTTCTTTCTACCATAATTTGTCCTTTTTTTCCCCAAAAAAATTACCTATCACGGAACTAAACATTGCAGAAACTTCCGAAACTGAAGCATATGATACTGATGAAACTGAAGGTTGGTTAGTTATTCAAAGAATGCTGGATCGCTACTTATTTCTTATGCATTCTATTTAAAATATGAAGTAGTTTGATGACAAGACTTAAGAAGCATTTTGATGCTTCTAATTTATATTTGAAGGCTAAATTTAAATTTAATGCTTGCTAAGACTTAATAAATATACTTGAAATGTGTAACAAGTAAGTCATTTAGAATTCCCACACATTTATATTTTTCTTTCTACCATAATTTGTCCTTTTTTTCTCCAAAAAAATTACCTATCACGGAACTAAACATTGCAGAAACTTCCGAAACTGAAGCGACAACGTATGATACTGATGAAACTGAAGGTTGGTTAGTTATTCAAAGAATGCTGGATCGCTACTTATTTCTTATGCATTCTATTTAAAATATGAAGTAGTTTGATGACAAGACTTAAGAAGCATTTTGATGCTTCTAATTTATATTTGAAGGCTAAATTTAAATTTAATGCTTGCTAAGACTTAATAAATATACTTGAAATGTGTAACAAGTAAGTCATTTAGAATTCCCACACATTTATATTTTTCTTTCTACCATAATTTGTCCTTTTTTTCTCCAAAAAAATTACCTATCACGGAACTAAACATTGCAGAAACTTCCGAAACTGAAGCGACAACGTATGATACTGATGAAACTGAAGGTTAGTTAGTTATTCAAAGAATAAAAATGCTGGATCGCTACTTATTTATTCCTTATGCATTCTATTTAAAATATGAAATAGTTTGGTGAGAAAACCTAAGAAGCCTTTCGTATGCTTCTGATGAAGACATGCATATTTGAAGCAATGTTCAAATTCAATGCTTACAAATGCATTGGAAATATGTGACAGATAAATCATTTGGAATCCACACGTATATATTTTTTCCTACCTGTAATTTGTCTTTTTTGTCTCAAAAATGTTATCAATCATACAGTGGATGAACACACCGCTATAGTATTGAAATCCATTTCAGGTCAGGAATGTCCAGAACGTGACGGTTTGTTCCCGCATCCTACTGATTGCCATTTGTTTATTCAATGCGCAAATAACATTGCACATGTGATGCAATGTCCAGCGACTACTTTCTTCAATGACGCAATCAAAGTTTGCGATCACATGACGAATGCGCCGGATACATGCATCTAATTTGTTGTTCTCTGTAATGTGTTAGTTGTAGAATAAAAGTTTAGAGTAAAAATGCTAATAGCACATAAAATAAATTGAATACACACCGCTATGGTATTGAAATCCATTTCAGGTCAGGACTCAGGAATGTCTAGAACCTGACGGTTTGTTTATTGTTTAATAAAACTCGTTTGATAATTCATATTATATTAGGAAGATAAGTACAATTATGTGAGGAGAGAAATAAAGAAGCAGAAGGCGCAAATAAACAGGAAGAATAAAGATGAATTAACCACATAGCAGATGGTTTATGATGGATATTTTTAAAGTTTTTTTTTAATTTTTTTAAAATTTTTGAAAATCGCAAAACTCGAAATAAGTGTCTCGCACACTTCCAAATAATTCACAAAATATATCAAATAAAATTGTATTAATCCATAATATTAAAATTTATCTTAATTGAATATTTCTTTAGTTTTACAAAAATGTTTCAAACTGCATCTCATGTAAGCCACATCGCAGCTGAGCTTATCTGTTTATCTAAGAATTTTTCAACTGTTAACAAGAAGTATATGCATTGTTTAATATGTTAAAAAACATTCCTTCGTTCCAAACCAAATTTGCTTGTAGTGTTGAAATGTTATAAAAGTTTTCCCATCTAAGAGACATTCTTATGACATGAGAAACTGACAGTATTTAAAACCCATCCATCTCATACTATATAAAGAGTAAAGAGGTTTTAATTCAATTTTAAAATTAAAACTTTTTATTTCAGATTTAAATTTTGAGTTTTATGAAAATCCTACAATTTGCAAGAGTTTTTGTATGTTAAACAAGGAAACAAATTCTAGTATTATCAAATTTAATTTTAATTAAGTGCTAAATCTGCTAAAAACAGCAATTGATTAAAAAAAGATATTTAAAACTTAGTTGATTATTTCATATGCATTGCACCAGAGCTGGTCATATATGGTATGGTCATTTTATAGTTTAAAAAATAAAATACACCTTTATAAATAAGTTTTGTACAATATTTCTTCAGCAAAATTAATAAAACTTTCAATTAGTCATGGTTTTAATTCATTTTTACAATAAAAAATAATTTTTATTTCAAACTTGAATTTTGATTTTTATAAATATCCTACAGTTTCTAAAAGTTTTTGTGTATTAAATAAGAAAATAAATTGCATTATTATCAACTTTAATTAAAAAAAAAAACAACTTGTTAATTGCAGATTCACCACGTGATAAGAATGTTAATTTAGTATAAGTAAAAAAGAAAGAAGAAAAAAGAACATATAGTAAAGTTAGGTAAGAAATAAGAGATCAAAAATAAAATAATTGATAAAGATGTAAGATATTAAAATCAGATTAGTTGTGAAAAACATGTGTGAAGTGATTTTCTTTGTACAAAATTCATTTTTATATAAATCAGTGGACATATTATAATATTATTTTAGAATATTAAGTTTTTGCTATATTTGAAATACGTATTATTCATTTCATTCCATGTACAAGTTTTCACTGATATATGATAAGTATTATAAATGTGATTTCAAGTGGTATTTCACTCAACAATGTGAGGCATAGATGCTTGCGATGATATTTTATTTTAAATTCAAACTATTAATAAAATAATTATTTCAGAATGAAGAAAAAAATAGTATAATTTTAAAGTATGTTGTAAATTTTTTAATCGTGTTAATCCAATAATTTTTGGCATTTATAAAATCACGAAAAAATGGAATTAAAAAACTTTGATTTTATTAAAAAGTTTCGGTGGGAAAACTTTCAATGATGAAAGTTATCATTACTATCATTATTGATATTGAGATGTTCTTTATTACTTAGAAAAAAATTGATATTTTTATTTAAAGATTTTAAAGGAAAAAATTTCAAAGCAATAATTATAATTAACACAATGGAAATTCTAATTACTACCATTATTATTATCAATATTATCATTATCACTATTAAGGACTTCATTTTGTGTAGCATTCTTGTTTTTTTCTTTTTTTTCTAGATGTTTTTAGTATAATGACTTTTGAAAGTGATATTTGAAAAATGTAATAATTTCTTGAAACTCGAAATGAGTCTTTCGCGAACTTACAAATAACTTACAAAATGTATGAAAAAAATTAATAGAAATATAAAACTGTTTCAAATTGCATCCCATGTAAACAATGATTATTCCAATATTCATCCTCCTATTGTTGTTGAACTTATCTGCTTATCAAAAATTTTTAACTGCTAGCAAAGGTTATGTGCCTTGTTTAATACATTAAAAACTATTCCTTTTTTCCAAATCAAATTTGCTTTCAATATCGAAATACTATAAAAGTTTTCTAATCTAACAGTCATTCTTTGACAATATAAAAACCTGTCTCCCATTATATAAAGAATTAAGATTATCGGATAAATTTATTCATTTAGTCATTTTCATCTCATTCGTAAAGTCACAAAGAATAAATAACTCACAGGAAAACACACCTCAAACTCACAGTTCATATAATTCCTTTAAATTCCCCATCAACTTATTCATCTTCATTTTATTCGTAGACACTTTACAAATTAATAAGGTATTGTTGCTATTATAGATTAATACTTTTGCACATTGGTTGCTAGCGAATAAAATCGTTACAGACCTTCCACTCAATGCGTTCAATGCATTCGTTTATATCAGTTATAATAATAGTTATTCTAACGAATTAAACTGAATTCAAGCTAACAAAAATCAGAATCTCTATTGTTTATGCAAGTAAAAATAAGGAAACTTCATTCTAATTAGAATATAATGCCGTAACGTCACACATAACTATTACAAAACGTCAGTTAATACGTTCACACGTGTGCACAATACGTTTACAACTGTTAAATGACCATCTGTTATGCATGTGATAATATATAAACTTTTAGATAAGGATAAATGAAACATTGTTATTATCACATTTGCTACTGTTCGGCTGCTCGATAAATTGGATTGTTTATTGAATGAAGTAAAAACAGAAGGAAGTTTCATACTTGATGCAACAATATATTTTGGTGGTATGAATTCATTGTATGTATTATCAGAATACTATTAATGTTTGTGCTAGAAAAATTGAGTATTTAAATGAACCAGAAATTCGACGTCACAATATCGTAAATCAGTTGTGTGCTACATCAGAGTTTGTTACCTTTCCCTGATTTACTTGTATTTAAACATCTAGTAAATTTTAATAAATTTTTTCAACTTGTCAATATTTCGTTATGCTTCTTGGTGGTGCTTTTTAAATTTCATTGTTTCGAATTACTTATTAAGCATTCGCTTTTGTAAATAAAAAAAAAAATCTACCGATTCTGACATAAATTTAGTTGCAATTTCCTTATATTTCTCCAGAATGTATCTGGACACAGCTATCATTACTGCCAAAAAACGACTCAATACTTTGCTATTTCCTGATTTCCGGTTTGACTATAAATGTTGCATATATTACTCATCCAGTTTGCATGTATTACAATGATATTTACTCCATATATTATCTGTAGTTGTGGCAAAAAGGTAACTTTTGTAACTTATATAAATCTCTTTGGGGAAATTTTCTAAAATTTGTTTCAGCTATTTTCTTTCTGATTTTTCTTAATTAGATAATTTCAGCACATTATCAAAAAATGTTGTAAACCTGAAATTATAAAACATTAAATATTCTTACCTAACTTCCGCTACTTTAAATAAATATGTGGCTTTTTGATTAGTTTCGTCAAAATTCCTTTTTTAGAAATTAAAATTATTAAAATTTACCGTTTTGTATCATTCAGAAATCAAAACAAGCAAACAAAACGAGTATAAAACAAGAAAGCAAACAAGTTTGTATCAATTTAAATCAATTTAAACCATTTGTTTTAAATCAATTTAAATCATTTTGTTAACTTTCGAAATTGAAAAAAATTGATAAAAAACTTCAACTTCTATGTGAAGTTTTATCTTCTATAAAATAAAAAACATTATGTGTTATTGTTATATGAACTCACACTGCATTAGTAATTTTTTCTTTTTTTTGTTTGTTTTTATTGTTGTTGCAATAATAATACAAACAATTACATATGAGCAATATTACAAACTAACATTTCAGATCAATGAAAGACAGCAACAAGAAGGTTATATTGACAATTAACTTTACTACTGCTATTAATCTATCACTTCTTACAATAATATTATCTTGATTGATTGATTGATTTATTGATCGATTGATTGATTGACCGACAGCATATCAATCGTTTTTGGGTTGATGTGAATTGATTTGTCATTTTTACAACAAATAACATTTCATTGATATATCAATTACTTCGGGTTTGGATTGAGTGAAGCTATTCTATTTATGTGAATAGCTTCACATAAGTGCTTCTTCCTCAATTTCTACAAGGAGGAGAGAGAGAGGGAGAGAGAGAGAGAGAGAGAAGGAAAGAGAGGGAGAAAAAGAGAAATTTTATAGTCTTCGCTTCGATCATTAAATCAATAAAATTGTTTAATTGATAAGAACAGCAATTAGCCAATCTATCACCTGAACTGTTTTTATCTAGTATCACAAAACAACAAATCACTATCACTGAAGAAGAAAGAAACTGATGGATCAGAAATGAAAAAGGATGCTAGTAACACTGAAGTGAGATTTGGATATCCTGAAATTTTTAACAATAAACTTATGTATGCTTTATATTGGAATATGAAAAAAAAAAAAAAATATGATGTATCCTTGCATTTCAAATCATAAATTAATAACCGTCTTACTAATTTTAAAAATAAATTCATATAGTTCAAGCATTAAAAAAAATGTTACTAATACGAAAATAAAATCCGGAAAACGATGTCCTTAATGAATTGGTAAATCAGTTGAATATTTTCCAGGATAACCTCTCGTACATTTATTAATTTCTCCTCAAAAAAGTCATTTCAGATAAAGAAACAAGTTGCTGTTGTTGTACCTCTTATAACTGGAAAAACAAAAAACGGAAATGGGCAGGAAAGTAACGAAAGGATCAGTACAAAAAAGGTTGTAGATTTTCTAGGGGAAATCAAAGTTTTAATTTTGAAAGGTTGAATTATTTATGATTTTTGTTCGAAAGACATTATTTTATGGAACGAAATGTAAAACTAATATTAAAATTCATTTCAGGCTGAATCATTAACTAAACCAAAAACAGATTCGATGAAAGCTAATGAAAAAATTCAGGAAGTCATAACACAAGAAGAATCATTGCCGGAAATAAAAGAAGGTATAATGGAAATTGCTGATGACGACGATCCAAGATATAAGGTTAAAGGAAATGAAAAAATTCAAATCTATCACAATAAAATATAACATAAAACTTCCCCTGCAATTTTTATTAAATTATTAATATTTTAGACATTGTACATTTTTATGGACAAAAAATTTGACATCTTTGGACCTGACAAACGAAAATCAGGACAGCCTGAAATTGGTGTATGTATATTTGTTTAAAAATTTATTTTATACAAGAAATTTTAAGCCATAATTTGATAAATTTTCTGATAGAATAAAATGATTTACTTGTAACTATTTCCATGGATTAAATATATTTTAAAGGAATTGAAACTTTCTAAAATCTCGAATATTTTGTCAGAAAGAACCAAATTGCTTTAATATTGTTGCAGACGATGAAAAACATATCTGATGAGGAGTTCGCTGCTAAAATTGAAGAAATCAAAGCACGATATGAAACGATAGCAAAGAAGGATCAGAGGATTGAAATCAATTGGGATACTTTATTTGTGAGTGTTTTTTGGTGGCTGAAATTACCAATAAATAATATAAGAGTATGGCAATTAGCTAATAAAAATTTGATGGATAATCTCATACATACATATATTCCAATTTTGTTTACTTCAAATAACATAAATATTGATTAGGCTGTAAGTAATTTACAACTTTTTGATTGTCTAAAAAAATTTTGACAAATATCACAGTGATTACTGTTCTGCTACGCTTAATATAATTTGTCATAAACGTTTGTCTTCAATTATAGCAAGCAAAAAATATCGAAAAAAATGATAATGCATTAATATTTACACTACCAACGGAAGTTGTGTCAAAAATGAAAAAGAAAAAGAAAAGAAGAAAGAAACAATTTCGTGAATAATTAATTTCTCTTAATTGTGTAAAATATAATTTAATAAAGATTATGTTTAACATATGCAATAGAAATACAAATATGCGGAATTTCATTAAAGAATATTCATACGGAATTATTTCTTCACTTTTTTAACATTCCGAAATGAAAAAAAAAAAAAAAAAAAAAACTCTACTATTTAACGATGACCTTCGTCAGCATATACAAATTATGCTTCCGCAGAAAACGAAAAACACACTGTCTAACTATGATTTCGATTACATTCTTTTAATTAATTAATTCTTTTCAGTTATTTTTAACCATTGCTAGCGTTTATTCTGTGTTAACACGTAATCCATTCCTCTTGAGAGTAATATTTTCAATTTTTCGAAAATATGCAGGATAAAAGTCATTTTCCACTTTATTATACAAAAATATGAGGTGAAATTGATCAAAATTCATGATAATTTGCTGATTAATTTATGATCAAAAATGTTTTATTGAAATTGTAGAATATTTGCAATGAGCAAAGATTATTTAGTTTAAAAGAGAAACGAAATTGACATAGAATTCATTGTATATTTGCATTGTTTCCCTCAAATTCATTCGGTCTTCATTTTATTTTCAAAAAACGATTGGTAAGTTACAACGCTTAAAAAAATGATATTGAAATTTTTGAAAATCTAAATTGCTCGTCCTTTTCCGTTAGATTGAAAAGTTGCAACCTCAAGGCTCATCAAATTAAAATTTAACTCACTGTAATATGTGTTTGTATTAAATTCACATAGCTTTCCTTCATTAAGGCACTAATTCTGGAAACGCTCTACAATTATGAGAAACCCACGATTTGCACTTTTTACATTATTTTTTTGCATTTTCGGCACAAGCATATTATTAGTAGCGTCGCAGCGATCCGCTCCGGTAATTTTTGAGAAGTTATACAAATATGATATGACACTGAAAGAAATTAAAAAATCAAAAGTGCGGATTCTCAAGGAATTTTTTGAGGATGATAACGACAAAATTGAGGATTATCACTCATACGGTGAGCCTGACGATATTGATGACGACGATTTTGATGATGATGACTTTGACATGTTCAGTTCTTTTTTCACTGATATTATCTTTAACCGTAACCATACCACCCTTACCCTTACCTTTCTAAGCACATCGCAAGATACCGCTTCTTCGTTTGCCATAAATATCCTCACACAATTAATGCGAGATGGTCACATAACTGATGCAGTGCTACCTTGGAAGTAAGTTTACCTTCGATCTTCTCATAAATATATTGCTAGTGTTGTTTTCTTTGCATCACTTATCAGTTCTTCTGTTTCAGCACTGGCAGACCACTTCTACTCAGAATTAATCAGACAACTACAGGATAAAATGCTGATAGAATTACCTGCATTTAAGTCTTATAATTTTATCATTTTATGAGTGGCAACCGACTCCATAGAATTTGGTAATGTTTATTGCTGAATAAAACTGAAATTAGTACTTGCTTACTCTAGACATTAAATCATTTTTGTCACAGAGCAATCAGTTTCAGTTTTGTATTACTCGCAAAACTGCAAATTCTGCCATCTTTTCTTTACAATCAAAAGGCGTAATGCTAAAAACTGCAAAGTCTAATGATTCGTTAGACTATGTTGTCCACGTGAAAAACATCACAAAATGCCCCATGTGGATCTTACAAAATTATGTTGCAGCCAGATTTTTTTCTTTATGAAAGTCTGAAAAAACACCTGTTTCAGCTTACTTCCTTATTAACGTGTGCTATTTTTTCTGATCTAAATAGCACCATTGGAATTCTGAACAAAGATTTCAGGAATTTAATTATTATTAATCATCTGAATTAATAAAAATCTAGTTATAAATTTCAACAAACTAGTGAAATAGAGAACTGTTTTAAACAAATATATAAATTTTCCACATAATCAATTAATGTAACCAATGCATTCAAAATTATGAATGATAGCTTAAAAAGAGGCAATAAAATAGTAATCATACCTGAATAATTTGTAATGCATTTATAGTTCAAATTACTAGAAATGAGTACAAAAATTTCTACGCTTTCATTATGTAAGCAATCCAATTCCCTTCTTCATAAAAATATTTCTCAACAGTACAACCACCAGCATCACTGATCAAATCTCCGAGTTCAAAATCACGGAATAAATGATAGTACCTAAATTAAAACAATAATACAATGCTAAAAGTAATTCAGTCTATTTCTTAACAATTCTATCATATCACCTTTAATACTATTGCTTTGACAGTAATTGAACAATGACTAAAATGTAATATTCTAAAAAGCATTTAACAAAATCAATACATTCAGATGGTCCAAATACGAATTTTTTTATTTAATGAGAGATTCATTAATTCCATTATTTCCATGCAATGATTCAATTTCATTCTCAGTTTCATCAAGAAAAATAAAAAACTGTGGAGGAAATGTCGTCAAGTACCTCAGAAATCGACTTCCATCAGCATTTTGAAATGGAACAAGCATATCTGGTTGAGTGAATTCTCTTCCCTCATGCACCCTCAGTCTTCCATGACTGTCGCGACGATTCATCTGAAAATGTTAACTTTTTTCATATGTATTCAAACAAAACTTCAAAATTTTTAATTTGCAGTTTCTATGAGACATTTTGGGAAAAGTGAAAAAAGATTAATGGTTTAAAAAAAGTTTGAAACTTGTCGTGCAAATTAAAACAGTTCAGATTATCCCGTCGAAATTGCGACAATGTATGAGAAAAACAGTATAGTCTAAAACCTGCACATCACGCTTTTTTTGACGCATTTTCAAATATTCAGACGGCGCATCACATAACTTCTGCTCATATGCCCAAACGGTAATGCACGCTTGTCCACCTGGTTGCAACACACGAATAATTTCTTGAATTGCATGAATCCTTAAATGAAAAGTACGTAAATTATAAAGCTATTGTAAACATCGTAAGCGTTTCACTACTATAACAACATACAAGTACACAAGTAGTGCAGTAATTTTGCATGCTGAAAAAATTCCCGTACGCAGGACTGCAATCTTTTATATAAAATTAAAAAAAAAAAAAATTACATAAACTAGTACCTTCTCTTTTTTGTAGTTAAATGATGGATGACAGCAATGCATAAGACTGCACCTGCACTAGAATTTTTGAAAGGTAACGATAAAATATTTGCGCGCAATACATTACACTGTTTTTGGTTAGCAATAAGGCATAAATTGTAGCATAAGTCACAACCAATCTAAAATACAATCAAATCCGCATTTCAAATTTCTAAGAAATGAAACAAGTCAATGTCGATTTAAGATCGTGTTAACATTAGGAATTTGGATTATTCCTAATCATTCTCTAAACGAGCAATGATCTACAATACATAATTCAAAACAGTTTTTTCATATTAAAAGTTTAAAAGTTAATTTCTAAATATAAAGGAAATATACTTTGATAAGTGCATCATCAAGTTTGAGATATTTTCCATTACCGCAACCAATATCATAAACTATTGTTCCAGGTTCAAATTTTGACAGAAATTTAGCAACACCATTCCATTGTGCGTGTCGAGTCACGTCAAAATGCTCTGCTATAGATTCATAAACCTAAAAAGATAAATGCAAAAGCAAATTCGAAAATTGTTAAATAACTAGTTTATGTCAGATAGAACAAAGAACAATAATCGATGTTTCTTACTGCGGAAACATATTGATTCTCAATAGCTGCACCAAATTCATCACTATCCGGAACTTTCATTGCACCATTTCGATCCCAGTCACAATATTCAATGAATGCACACTGGCATTTTTCTCGTATCACATTTCGAAATGTAAAAGAAACTCTCAACTGTCTCGCCATCAATTTATTTGTCACCGGATTTATGTCATACTTTCGCTTTGCTATACTATAAAATTTTTCACTACAAAAAGTTCGCAAAATATTTACATGATGAAAAAAAAAAGTTTATAAAAAACTTCTTACATGCATTCATTTATCAATAAAAAAATATTAGTAGGAAAAACAGCAAAAAAAGTAAAATACCCATGCTTCCATCGATATCGTGACTCTCCTCGCATCACTGTCAAACTAAAACGTGGCAAAAGAACATCATAAATTGTTGAAGTGTTTGCAAAATCACGAAATTCCATAACGAGATCTAAGAAAATAATAATTTGGTGAGCAGTTGTGTTCTAAGAAGGATAGGGTAGTAGAAACTGGTGAACATGCCTACTTCCACGATTACGTCCGAATGAAAAAAAAAACAAATTTATTTACAAATATATCCTCACGAAATTTTGTTCAGATGATTTTCCAAAAGAAAAAAAATGTGCAAAATAAACCTGAAAGCAAACTAAGCGAAGCTATAGTATCACTGAATGCAGAATGAGTATCAACATGCGACGGTATACCATTTCCAGGTTCATAAATATTTACCGTTACTTGGTCCGGTTTTTCCTTAAATATTCCGGCACCTAGCATTCGATCAATTACAGGTTGGCAAACTGATGGTATTGGATCTGGAGATGGTTGTTCAGATGCCATATTATTATCATAATTAAATTCAAAACCAAAATGAATCACTTTACGGTTTTTTAACGTTTCTGAAAATATAACTTATTCAAAATTTGCAAGAATAACGATATCAAAATTTCCATAATGCATCAGATATAAACTGTCAATTCTTTTCAGTTCAACATTTCTGATAATTTGCTAGCAACTGATTAATAAATTAAAAAAGTTAAAAAAATAGTTTGGCCAGTACACTAACAAACTAACAACAATAAAAAACAATTAAAACCTAACAACAATAATAAAAAAAACAATTAAAATCGCACTTCCTCTAGGCAAATAATCCTGAATAACAGTAATCAATGCTGCTTCCTCATCCGGATTTATAAAATCTGGTAAAACCCAAAGATTGTTTGGTTTATACAATGGTTCTATTCTTTTAACCGATGGCACTGAAATGAATTTCTTTTTTAATAAACAACAACTTCATATTAACTTCATATTTACTTCATATTTACATATTTACTTTTTTTAATAAACAACAACTTCATAAGATTGTAATCGATTTACTAGAAGGTTAGTTAAAATAGAAAATCAATCCGACATTTACAGTGTGATATTAAATATATACATTTTTATTCACAAGATATCATAAATACCTAATTAGCTTAAATTTGAAGCTCCTAATTCATTTCAATTAATTCAATCATTTATCGGTGTAAAATTTATGACAACATGCAACAATAATTACCGTTTTTAACAAAAGCAATATAGAAAGGTAAAGCATTCGAATTCAAATCTGATGGCATGTGTCCATGAAGCTTCTGATAAGCTAAATGAGCTACAGCTACAGTTTGAAAAATGACGAATGAGTAAGAACGTTGAGATTGAAATACCATAAAATCACAGTTTTCACCAAACTGACTGAATATCCTTTCCAATTCATCATATGACAATCCACACAAAGGACTACTATTAGCCACAAATAATATCTATAAATTAAAATTTGGAAATTAAAATTTAATTTATAATCAATAACTTCATATGAACTAAATAGAAGACAAGCATTTGCTTTATTGATTTCTGACTTGAACTTGAATTTGAAGAAAACTTGACCTCACTAAATGAAATAACTGTGTAGTAGTGAAATATCTGGTACTAACAACTTTGCTATTTCTAATAACATCAGTTTCTTTTTTCCTTAATATTATCTATTTACGATCAGTGTGGTTCATATCTATTCAATAAACCAAATAAATCACACAGCGAATACGTTCTTTCTTCATCGTTACGATGTTTGTTAAACTTCATTCTACAGTGTATAAATTTTTCTTTCTATAAAACTAGTGTGTAAATTCTATAAAACTATAGAATTTACACTTTTTTTTCTTTTTTTACTTACTAGGCGAATAAGTTATCTAGCAAAAATGCCACGGAATGATTAAAAAATCTTTTTTAAAGGAAAATATAATAAGAAAGCTGCACACACCATCAAAGTGCGGACAGTGTACATGAAATCTATTATGATCTACATCTTTGATAAGTAATTACTACTTTAATAAGCGTACGCAAACCGTTCATCGTATGTAAATAGCCATTATTATTATTATTATTACTATATTATTACTGTTACTATTACTATTGCTATTAAACAGATTATCATAATACGTATGTGAACTGTCATTTATTATTATTATTATTATTCCCATTATTATTATCATTATTATCGCTATCATTATTACATCATCATTATTACTATTACATTATTATTATTATTGTTGTTATTACTATTACCATTATCGTTATTATTATTATTCATTACTACTATTACCACATATGTTATATCTTATATAATGGAAAAGAATTGTATATAATCAACATAAATAATACGAATTAATCATTTTCACTTCTGTTTGCAAACATACGAAAGTATATCGGTGGCAATATGATAAATTATGCCGAAGATGTTAAATCCTCTATGAAAACTATCACTTACTTCAGTAGGCACTGATGAAATTTCCACATCTGGATCATGTTTTTGTAATTGTAGTAAACACTTCCGAAGTTTTCGTGATACTTTTGATCGATCCATCAATTCATCATATCATATTATTTGTTTAAATCAATAGCTAAAAGCAAATCATCAATTTTTCAGTTTTAATTTTCTCAAATTTCAATAATTTTAATCACAATTATGTCCTTTATAAATCACTATGCGTGCATTTACTCTTTCCTCCTTTCTTAAAAGAGAGAAAGAGAGAGAAATAAGGAAAGACAGAGATAGAGAGAAAGACAGGGAAAAATTCATATACAACAGAAAATCTTCCAAAAACCCAAATTCCATCCGTAATTGCCTATTCCTAATCTAATATGAATACTTTCAAGGCAAATCATAAATGCTCTCGCAACTCGAGCATAAACCTGTCGGTAGTGTGGTTCTTTTGAATACTGCAAAGGAATGTCGAGAGTATACCCACGGGGAAGGGTAGGGGAAGTGGGGCAGTCTTTCTCGCTTGTCGAGAATGTGTAGTGGTAAATGAGATTTCTTCTAAAGAATGATGAAAATGTTCATTAACAAATCGAATTATCCTGTTTTTTTTTTCGTTTTAATGATGATAAAAATTGAAATTTGATATGTTTCAAATTTTTCTTACCTCATTTCTTCTGTACTAAAAAAAAAGAAAAGAAAAAAGTTGAAGCACAAAAAGAAAGGAAAAAAAAGATTTTAAATATTAAAATTTTAAAGTTGGGGAAAAAATACTTTAGTTCTCTTACATTTTACTCACTACAATTCTTTGACATTTTATTCATTTCACTGCTTGGAAATTTTCCTTTCATAGTGATATATTCCATTAGGATGATAAGAATTCGAGTAAAATAATTAATGAAATTTATTTATTAGAATATCAGAATCATTATCGATATGATTTAAGTTTTCTTATCTTATTTCTTCTAAAACTAACAATTCTAAGCAATTTTCTAATATAGAAATTTTGAACAATTAATGCAATAAGTATTTTCATTAATAAAATTTTATGAGATTATTTCTTTTAAAAGCAGTACATTTTGCACTTTATAATTTTATTTCTAAAATAATTTACTAAATTTCAATTCGCTTTTTGTAATTATTTTAATCCATTTTTTTCTCTCTTTCTTTTTCCCCCTCTCTCTCTCTCTCATCTTATCCAAATCTAAATTACAACTATTTTTCACATATACAACTGTCGCATACCTACCTATATTAAATTTCTTGGCTCTTTTTTTTTTCATATCCTACATTTATTTTTCATTTTTATCTTTGCTTGGCTGCTTCCTCTTTTTCTGTTCAAATACAGCTTTTCTCATGCATTCCCATGATCGTTATTGAAAACTTTTCAAACCTTAATTACTGATTAATTAACAAATTATTAATTAATTATTAATTAAACAATCCAACATCAATAAATGTAGAAATGGATATATAGGTACATATGTATATAATCCGGAAATTCATTACCAAACATTAATAGTCAAAATGAATAAATAAATAAATAATTAGCTACTTTTATCATTTTCAATAAAAAGAAAGACTGTAATGCAAAAAGTTATAAGAAATGTCAAAAAAGAAACAAAAATGAATAATATCGCATCGCATATGTTTGTTATTCAAAATGGAAATACAAAAAAAAAAAAAATTAAAAAATAATTTTACAAAATCTTTAAACTGAGATTTTGCCTTTTTTTGAAAAAAAAATTCTCAATTTAATTTAATTAATACACTAATACCAGCAAAAAAAAAAAAAAAAAAGAAAAAAATATCAGCAAAAAAAGGGAATTATTTGGTAAAAAAATGTCAAAAGTTAAAAGTATGATAAAAAAATTAAATTTTTGTAACAATTGAAATAAATTTTATAAAGTGCACTAATTAATTAATATATTAATCGTTAATGCCATATAATAAAATTTATGCTTTGACTAAAATTAATAACACTTCCAACAATGATCGAAGGAAAATTAATAATTCATTAATTGCTTGTAAAAGGGAAAAAATACATTTCCTTTCTAAAAATGCTTTTCTTTTTTTAAATTTCATTTTTCTCCTCTTATTTCACTTCATTTTACATTTATTACCATTAAGTGAATAAATTAAAACAAAATCTTTAATTATGCCATCCTTAATTTAGCTTTATTTTATACTATTATTGGTTGAGTAAATTTTATAAAAAAATTGCTTGGAAAGGTTGAACACAAAAAAAAAAAAGAAAAAAAAAATGATTAATATTCGAATTAATTATAAAGAAAAGCTGTCAGGGAAATATTTATTTTTATGAAAAGGTGTCATTTTATTACTCGGATATATTCCATATTCTATGACATATATGTATATGAAATGAATTATCACAGATATTGAATATTTGTTTATTTATTTATTTATTGGTTTATAAATGAAATGGATGAGTTTGAAATGTAAAATGAAGAATTTAATCAATAAAAAAACCAAAATTTACATTATTTTTCATACTGCACTATTTTATTTTCTAGTTTTTCCATTTATTTTTGTTTTTCTTTTTCTTTTTGCCTTTCAGTACTTATCAATTTATTTCTTTCAATGTCCTTTTTTTTTTGTTCCTCATCAAATTTTCTTTTTCTTTTGCTCTTTTCAAACTTTTTATTGATTCTAATTCTTATCAACTTCATTCGATAATGAAATATCAAATAGTAGATTGCTAAATCATAGCCTATTTGATCTTATTTCCTTTTTTTTTTTTCTTCATATGCTAATAAAACGAAAATGTAATTAGCTGTTTATTTAATCCAACATTTATTACTTTTTTTTATCATTGCGATAATATATTCTCACTTAGATATATCTTAGAATAGTTAAGCATTTTAAATTGCAATTAATTTACAATTCGAAACTCAAATGTGGTAATAAGTAAAAAATTTATGAAATAACGGATGACTAAAATTAAAAGTAATCGATTGCATCAATGAAATCTAATTCTATTTTATTTGTTACTCTGACAGAAATATTTTTTTAAGATGGAAATGTATGGTAGAGCAAATAACAAGTAAGAGTGACAAGTAACACTGATCTAATTAATTAGAGAATTTGAAACGAAATAAATTGATAGTTTTGCTTTACGAGTTAATATAGGATAATATAATAATGAACTAAATATGTAGGAAATTTGTTGGTTATAAATATATAAGTTACAAATAATAACAGCAGTGAAATATGAAGTATAATTTTGTGATAAAACAAATTTAGTGATTATTGAAAGTTTAATAAAATATAAAAAGCAAATAACAAAATATATAAATAAATTAATAAGAAAATGCTAGTAAAACCCACATAAAAATACTATAAACCATAAACATTGGTATAAATACATTTTTTAAACATTTAAAATTAATCCAGACTTGATTTATTAAATACTATCAAAAAGCTCATCTTATGATATGATTGTTATTGTGCTTTAAAATGATGGCAAAGTTTATAATCAATCTCTAAGAAATCATTAATCATTATCCAGGATTTGCTCATCGTAGTTATTGATTTTTCCAAGTTTTTAAAAAACAAAGTTGCAAGAAAAAGAGGAGCTTTTCCTTTTTTTTTTTTCCTAAAAACCTACTTTCAAACACTTTGAAATGATGATCATTATTATTTGCTTTGAAGCTTTTCAAAATTCGCTTTCTTATCTTCATCAATTCATCATCTTTTGTGCAATCATTATTACAATCATCGTCAATATCGTTATCACTATTACCATTATCATCATTATTACTATCAATATTTAGTGAAATATTCCTTCGTCGTCTATCTAAAATGCTACTGAGCGAAATTCTGATTAATGAAAGAAAATAAGTTAGCAGTTTTTAAAAGAAGAAACAACGATAATATTACATTTTTAGTGGCTATATTATAGATACATCCAAATATCATTAATTTTAAAATCTAATTCAATTGACAAATAATTTATTTTTATATCGCATCTTCACCTCGTCTTGTTCTTTTCTTTATTAGCATTATTGCTTTTATTGTATTATTATTATTATTATTATTATTATTATTATTATTATTATTATTATTATTATTATCATTATTATTATTATTATTATTATAAATATATAAAAAATATATAAATATATATATATATATATATATAAATATATATGTAATTTAAAGTAGGCTTTTTAGCATAAAAAGAAATAGAAGCAACTTTAGCCAATCATTAATTTATAAATGAATTTTTAAAAAACAATAGTGGTAGCAGAAATGATAAAATATATTTGTATTACTAAAATAACATTTTTATTAAAGAAACTTATAAATTTCTTCAGAGTTTATTTAAAGTTTTGGTAAATTTTTATTAGAAAGCTTTCATGCTTTGCTGTTTTCTTTAAAATTTACATTTCATTATCTTACAAAATTATTAATTACCATTAATAGATAAATTATATTGGTAAAAAGTATGGGCAAAGAATTCATGAATTAATCGCGACTGGTTTTTTTATTATTCTTGTGCTTCTCATTTTTTTTTTTTTTTTTTGCAAAAAATGAGGAAAGTGTAACTTATTAATAGAGTTATTAATTTGAAATTGTATTTCAGGATCAAATTATAATTCTTACTTTTTTTTTTTAAACTTTTGCATTGTAGCAACAAAAGTCGAACAGAAATTATCAATTATTTTATGAAATTTCATTTTCTTTGTTAATTTTGTTAAAGACAATGAAAATTTTTGTTAAAATTTTGCATCGTTTTATTGCACCAATTTCGTGTCATTTTACTTTTTCAACAAGAAATGAATTCATTTCATAAATGACATGTTGGGGACATTTCATTTAATGGCGGTGCCAGTCACATGTGTTTGATTATATTGTGTTCAATTGAAAGGATGCTAAAATGAGGTTAAGGTCATTACCTGTTATTATAAATTATTTTAAAATTTAATTTGCAAAATTTTCAATAATTTTGCTTCTTATTGTTTTTAACATTCATTGTTAAAAAATAAAACAAAAATAAATTTATGCATTTGTTATCGTTGTTTGAATGAATTCTTTATTGTTTTATTTATTTATTAATTTTTGCTTTGATCATTGCGTACGAA